GCCTTTACCAGAGACCAGAGTAAGTGGCTGCAAATAAAAATTTGTGCATTGACCCTTTAAACGGTTCTTTGCGTCTCCAGCGGCCCATCTCTGGCAGAGAACAACCCTGCCGCTTTTCGCAGCTAGCTGTTTTCTGTGTACTTTCTGGGCTCTGGTGCTGTAGGCTAGAGATCCCTGCTTTTGGTTTAGACCCTGCTCTTCTCAGGGGGATCCAACTGGCTGTTTCAATATCCTTCTGGTGCTGCTGCCTGTGGGCACCCCGCCTGCCTTCTTGAGTCTCTACCGCACTCCTTACCAGTTACATTGCACTAAAGCCAATTCTTCTGTCTCAGAGGTTACAAGGCTCCTCTCTCGCTATTGTTCAGTTGTTTGTTCCAGGTGATTTCTCCACAATTTAGTTGTAATTCCAGGTTGGTCCTGGGAGGAGGTCAATGTGACTTTCACCCACTCCTCCACCATCTTGATTCTCCCTCGGGAGTAACCCCTTTTAAAAATAATATAACAACCACAACCACAAACTCTAGACCCCACTGGCTTCAACATATTTTTGCTGAGATCTTCAAGGCACGCCTTCTTGAACAGGGTTTTTTTCCCCAGTCACTCTCTTCACGTCTTCTCATCTGTTCCTCAATGCACTACACCTTGATTTTTAACTTCACTTTTAATAGAAATAGCTCTTACTAAGTTCCTTATGAATTATATGCTGCCCAAACCCATGTTCAATTCTTTCCTTCACTGCATCTGATGCCTCAGCAACATCCAACACAGCTGACCACGCTTTCCTTCTTTTTTCATTTTATCCTCACCCAAGCACATGCTTATTGATGTTTAGAGAAGTAGGAAAGGAGGGAGGGAGAGAGAGTGAGAGAGAAACATTAAGGTAAGAGAGAAACATCTATCGGTTGCCCTGACTGGGGACTGAACCCACGACCTTTTGGTTTACAGGAGGGCACTCCAACCAGCTGAGCCACACTGGTCAGGGCCACACTTTCCTTCTTGAAAGATTTTCTTCACTTGACTCTCATAATGCCATACTCTCCTGATTTTCCTGCTGCCTCACACCTGCCTCCCTTCAACCTCTACATGTTGTTACGTTTGTCCCAGATTTTAGTCCTGAGACATTTCCCTTTATTCATGAATACTTTCTCCTGCTAGTATTTTTATCTAATCTTATGGCTTTAAAAATTACCATATGTTTCCATTTCCCAAATTTATCCCTCTAGGACTGTGTGGCACAAGGATCATAATCATCCTAAAGTTACTTAGGAGTTTAACAGGGTAGCCAAAAAGAAGGATCCCCTCTTCCCAGCATGAGGGGCTGTGCCTGGAACAGCTCCCTGGGGGACCCCTGGCTCTACCTCAAGGAGAGGGAAACACTTCCCATCCGCCCCACGGACTCCAGGTGCAGGGCAACCAGATGTCCGTACACAGACACCAAGTGCAGGGCAACCGGCCGTCCTGAACAACTCTCAGAAACAGCTGGTGCTCCAGATCCAGGCCATCCAGCACTAGCAGCACGTGTCCCTCTATAAAGGAAAAGAGGAAAAGGATTCAAAAAGAGGAAAAGGATTCAAAAAGAGGAAAAGAATTAAATGCTTTCTTGTGCTTACATGATGCAAAAATAGAGGCCAGTGTCCCTACACTGAAATGCAGACCTGCACGGGGAGCCCAGGGATTTCCTGACCACTTACGCATCTGTGTAGGGTGGAAGGAGGGGAAATTATGACTTCTATCCCTCAGCCTTTGTGAGTTTTCCTAATATCTCATATTATTTAACCCATGTTGTAGCATATTGAGGAATTCTTCCCAAATTCTGATGCCAGCTGGCAGTGACTGGGATGGGCCCTACCCTGCATAACATACGCCCTGGCCTTCCCTGAACATGTGAACAATCCTGGTTTCCCAGCACCATTTGTTTAAAAGATGATCCTTTTATCCATTGAATTTACTTGGCACCTTTGACAAAATCAATTGACCATATGAATGTAGAACATTACCTCACACCACATGCAAAATTTATCTCAAAATGAATCATAGACCTAAATGTAAGGGCTAAACCTACACACCTCTTAGAAGACAACATAGGTGAGACTCTTCATGATCTTGGGTTAGACAAAAACATGAGTAGTAATAGAAAAAAATTGAACACATGGAACTTCATCAAAATTAAAGATATTTGTTCTTCAAAAGACATTATTAAGAAAATGAAACAATAAGCCACAGGTTGGGAAAAAATATTTTCAAATCATATACCTACCTATTAAAGAACTTGTATCCAGAATATAAAGTACTCCTACAAATCAACATTAAGAAGGTAAATCACCCACTTTTAAAAAATGAGCATGTAAATTATGTCTCCATAAAGCTGTTTGGATTAGAAATTTTAAAGATCATACTGAGTCCCCCATTTGCTTTGCTCTTTATTTGGTTTCTTACTTTCCATAGAGTTTATTTTTTAATTTTATTTTTCAATTACACTCTACATTCAACGTTATTTTGCATTAGTTTCAGGTGTACAGTATAGTGGTTAGACAATTATATACTTTACAAAGTGTTTGTAAAGTATATAATAATTATAAAAATTATTATAATAAATATTAGTCACAATAAATTATTATAAATAAGTAAATTATTATAAATATTATAATAAATAATAGAGTCATAATATTATTGACTCTATTCCCTGGGCTGTACTTCACATCCCCATGGCTATTCTGTAACTAACAATTTGTACTTCTTAATACCTTCACCTTTTTCATCCATCCCCAGCTCCTTTCCCCTCTGGAAACCTATGAGTTTATTTCCATTTGGCTTGTTCATTTATTTTGCAGTAGGGTTTATATTTATTGGTTCCATTCAGAGAACCTGAACTCTTCTTCTAGTGGCTCTTTGTTTGCCGAGAATTCCTGGAAAGACACTGGCTGACATCTACCAGCCCCCCGCACTGCCCACGGCTGGGGGAATGAGTGTCCAGTCCTGGGGGGTATGGGGGATGTGAACGGTTCACTTACAGCAAACTCTAGCAAGCAAAGGTCTGTGATGCTCTTTGGTGGCATCAGATAGGGCTCCACATGTCTCAGGCAGGCCAAGGGACCTTAGCAAGGGATGATTGCTTCAGAGAACAAGCTGCTGCAACTCAGGGACTACAGTCAAAGTTTCCTAAGCAAGTATGAGACACTGAGAGTCAGGGTCAAAGTGGGAAGAGGAGAATGTCCACAGCCCAGAGAGAGGGAGAGGGACAGGGAGAGCCTGGAGTGAGGGGTCAGGCCCAATCTGTGAGGAGCATTACTCCCAACCACTGAAGAAAACATTCTTTCCAAGTGCCATGTGGCATCTTCATCAAGATAAACTATATGCTCAGCCACCAAGCCTCAAATGTCTAAAAATCAAACTCATACGCTCTGACCACAGGAGTGTTAAATTAGAAATCAATAACAATAAAGTAACTAAAAAAAAAAACTTAAAACTTAAACAATATACTTCTGAATAACTCATGTGCTGAAGAAGAAATCACAGGTAAATTAGAAAACATTTTTACATGAGTGATGTTAAAAATCCAATACATCAAAATTATTGGCTGCAGTTAACACAGTCCTTAGAAATTTACAGCTTTAAATGCTGATAGTTGAAAAGAGGGAAGGGATTAAATTAATTATTGAAAATTTGACCACAGGAACCCTGGGGAGGGGGAAGTAAATTGAACCCAAAGTAAAAAAAGGAAGCAAATAATTAAAAGGACCTCATGAAATAGAAAATGAACAGACCATAGAGAAATAAATACAAATGTAAAGTCTGTACCTCATGCACAAAACTTAATTTCAGATGGATTCTAAATACTCTAGAACCATAAAGACTTTAGAAGAAAAAATTAGGAGAGTATATGGACTAAATATCAATACAAGCAGAACACAGTTGCTTCTGGGGTAGAGTTGCAGGGGTGGGATTTGACAGGAAAAGGGCAAGGAAGGACTTCCTGGGGTGGAAGAAATGTTCTCTGTCTCATTTTGTGTGGTGGTTACATGGGTGTGCAGAATTGTCCAGGTGCATTGAACTAACCCTGAAGATCTGGACATTTGAATGCATGTAAATTACATCCGAGTTTAAGCAAAGGAAGGTCAGTGTCCTAAGGAGCTTGTGGGGACGGAGTCTGAGTTCCTCTATGGCATGGGCTCCAGAACATCCACAGCATTTTCAGTTAGGGGTCTGTTCAGAGTAGTTTTGCAACCAAAATGTGAGGTGAGGGCAAATGCTATTAAAGAACCACGTAACCCACAACTAGACCCCTAATCTCATGATACAGGCCACAGAAGCAGGTGGTTATTGCTAGACAGCTGCCCCCCGAGCTTTCCAGGGGGAAAGCAAAATTGACATTCTGGATATACTGGATGGGAAAGAAAGTCACCTCCCATAGAACATAGTGATTGGAGATGCCACCATCGTGTGTTTCTTGACTTTGCAAGGCAGAGACATTTCAAACCATGTTCTGAGAGGGGAGTCAGTGAACTAGGGCGCCCTCCCCAGGGCGTATTTACTTCATAAGGTAAAATATTCCCTTCGAGCAGGAACATCTCCTAGCCTACTTTAAATTCACAGATTGTGAATCCCAAACAGCCAGCACCACCTCCGGGTGTCCTGTTATGGGTAGAACCAAAGATCTTTATCAGGCTGTGGCCTTGAAGTTTGTTTTCCCTTCCTGGACTTTGGAGGAAAGAGAAATATAAACTAAAGTTCTCCACTTTGTGGGAGGAGGTTCCCTGACACAAGAATGAGCAATGAATATGTAATAGAGTCCAAGGTGAAGAGGCTGAGCAAGACAGGACAGCTCATAAAGCTCCACCCTGGCCTTTGGGTGATGAGGACATAGAGCGCAGGCTGTTCCATCAGGCTTGTAGCAATCTCACAGGTTAGAGCTTTTTAAATTTTCTCTCAACTACTCTCAGTGTGTGTGTGGGGGGGGGGGTGTTTTTGCAAATAAGGAGTAGAGGGAGCAGAATGGACTTTTGTGAACCTGTAACCTATTGTCCTCGGGTCCAGGCCTTCTTCGGGGTGGCCCTCCATGCCAATCTGCTCCCCTGTGTTTTCTCGTTTCTGGAGAGTGTTTCTTGGTCCCTAGGTGTGGCATGGCTGCGTGGAGCTGCCTTGTGACAGGCGCAGGAGGCTTTCTGGGACAGAGGATCATCCGCTTGTTGGTGGAGGAGAAAGAGGTGCAGGAGATCCGAGCACTGGACAAAGTTTTCAGACCGGAGCTGCGGGAGGAATTTTCTAGTAAGTGGACTCAAGTCATAGGTATGGAGCTCCATCCTAAGTCCTGCGTTGGGGGCGGGGGGGCGGTTCTTCTCTATCTAGCAAATTAAGAAACATGGTAGTCAATCAAGACTAAGCCCTCCTCCAGAAGTCATCAGAAAGGAAATTGCTGCTGGTGCAATAGTACAGATACTGGGCCGACCAGGGTGAGTTGGGGAACTCAACTCTGACCCTGACCCAAAACGAGAGAGGCCTCTAGGCCTCTTTTCTTCTCATCTACAAAATCACATTTTGGCTCTCTCCCATGTTAACAACTCTTCAATACTCTGGAATTTTTGACTTGGCAATTACTGTGAAACATCTGCAAAGGACAGGCACGTACCAGGAACCTGGAGACCCTGCCAGGGGGTCCCTGCTCTTCTTAATCACCCTGGTCTTTTTGTGGCTTCGCTTAGCATCTCCAGTGAAGGTGAAATAAACAGAAGTGAAGGTGAAGCTGAGTGTGCGTGTGTGTGTGTATGCATGCGTGTGTGTGTACATGTATGACAATGAGCCATAAAGGAAGACAGAATTAGAATAAGTGCGTGGGGTGGGGGGGGGGGGAATGACAACAGGAATGGGGGAGGGGAGCAGAGAGGGTGCCCAAAGGGACAGGGCGGGAGCCAGAGACACAGTGCAAAGCTGCATAAGTGCAGACACCCCTTTGGGGATTCCCTGCACTTTTTTTTTTTTTACCATTTTCTCTGTTCCTCACCACAAGGGAAGTGGCTGCAGCTCACTATATTCCCCCCCAGATTGCTACCCCTGCTGCAAATGCAAAAGCTGGATTTATTGTGCATTTTCCAACCTGTTTCACCCCATAAATCTTCAAAATAATCCTGTGAGGGAAGCAGAAAAGGTGGGTATCCCATTTGGACAGTGAGGAAATCAAGGTCCACAAGAATAAACTTAGCCTGAGAGGCTCTGGTTAATGAGTGCCGGAGCTCAGACTAGCACCTTATTAAAGGGGCCCAGGTCATGTGGCTCCAGGGCTGTCTCTTGGCAAAGTGAGTTCCCACTGAGTGTCCCCAAACCAATTCCCTGTCCTCCTCCCCAGCCCCTGCAGACTGGTTGTCTACATGCTGCCCACGAGACCCCGCCTCCCCATGCAGAGGCCCCGCCTACTCTCCTGGACTGTGCCCAGAGCTCTGCTCTTCCTTCCTCTCCTCTGACCTCTTCAAACGTGCTGTTTCCTCCACCCTCTGCTTCAGCAGTGTCTCCGAGAAACCAGTTCACAATAATAAGTATCACATGTTTGTAATCCTTGCTGCTCAACAACATTTGCAATCTGACAGCTGATTCCCAAAAGGGAGTCCAGCTAAAGTAACAGTTCCCCAGTGTGACGTCAGGTGGCCCCTATAAAGATGAAATAGAGGGTCCTTATGTGTTCTTTCGGTGCCAGGCACTGTGCTATGTATTTGGCACGTTAACTCATTTGCTCCTTTTAACCCTGTGGGATGGGTGATAGTATCCTCCCCTCTTTAAAGATGAGGACAGAGGACAGACACAGAGGGGCTGTCTTAGTCCGTTCAGGCAGCTGTAGCAAAACAGCACAGGCTGGGTAGCTTGAAAACATTAGAAATTTATTTACCCCGGTTCCGGAGGCTGAAAGTTCAAGTTCAAGGCACCAGCATGGTGGCGTTCTGGTGAGAGCTCTCTTTCCGATCCATAGCTGGCGCCTTCTGGCTGTGTCCTCACATGATGGCAGGGTGAAGGATCTTTCTGGGGTCTCCTTTGTAGAAACACTAATCCCATTCGTGAGGATTCTACCCTCAAGACCTAACCGCCTCCCATCTCCTAACACCACCACACTGGGCATTAGGATTTCAACACGTGATTTGGGGGGATGCAAGCATTCAAAGCACAGCAGGAGTTAACTTGTTCAAGGTCTCACAGCTGGAAAGTGGCAAAGCTAAACTTGAACCCAGGCAACAGCGTCTGTGCTTTTAACCCAGTTTGCCTAGGAGCTTGTCTCTGGGCCTCCTTCCCAAGCAACGCACACCCCAGAAGCTGCTGCACATTAAGTCTTGCTCTGTACCCAGAGCCAGGGTTCCACCACGGCAGTTTCCACAGCGCCCTCTCCTGGTACCTCTGCACCCTTGCAGGCTACTAGGATCGGTAGGAGTTCTCCTCTCTCTCGGCTTCCGACTTCCCTCTCCAGCACCGCCCCCTCCCTCCATCTCCCCTGCCCCACCTCCACCTCCCCGGAGACAGACTGAGTCTTTTGATCCAGTCTGCTGAAGGCAGTAGCAAGGGAGGGGCGGAGGGAGGGAAGGGAGGAGGGAGAGGTGGCAGGCATAATCAGAGAAAATTCTACTCTCAGGCTGACTTGTAGCAGCTTCGCCCCGGCCTTTCCCTTACTCTGGGGCTTTCTAGGGGGCAGAGCAAGCTTGGCAGACTTCAGGAGAGCAGATGGCTGGTCCCAGCTGTAACCCAGGAAGGAAATTCTCCGGCCCTGAATTTTTCCCTCTGAATCTCTCTCGTACTGTTCTCTGGCCCCCACCGCCAAGCTTAGTTCAATGGACTTCTTACTCTGCCCCAGAAATGTGCCAGGCCTGCCCTTGGGTGGCAGGGAAGGTGAGCAAGGCTAGAAGGCAGGGGGCAGGCTGAGTTGTCACTACAAGTGTGACTTAGACCTTCCCCTTTACTCTCTGCACCTCAGTGTCCTCACCTGGAAAGTGGAAATCAGGATTCCTATCTCAGGAGGTAGCTGGGAAAGGAAATCAGAAAGCTGTGCAAGTTGAGGGTAAAGTGGAAAGCACAGAATAAGTGTAGGGTATTTATCCAAACTTCACTTCCCCGGACTCCAGAGGTGTGGAAGCCTCTGATGTCGTAACTGCTGCCCCAGGCTAGATGTCTGGAACACTGGCTCACCTCAGCACCTGATAGCTGCTTTTGATGATATGTAATAGGAGCTTGGGCTCATCCTAAATTCCCCGTCAACAGTTCCACTATCCTCCTGGTCACTCAGGACTTTGACTCTCCCTCCTCCTGTCAGCCCGTCTCTGGTAAGAGCCCGAACCTGTCCAGGTGAGGTGTGGGGGTCTCCGCTTCTCTGCTGCAGTGCAGCTGCTGGAACCCTGTTTCCTGTCCTTACCATCGGAGCTTTGGTAGGGACTTTCTCATTGATCTCCCCACCCCTGTGCTTTCTCTTACACCCTGCACTCTGACCCTCGGCAGCCTGGGTGCACTTCCTGCACGACTTGTTCCTTCCATGGGATGTGCCTCCCCCCTGCCCCCATCTATGTCCTCACGGGGACCTGGGTAAAGTGCCACCTTTATCAGGAAACTCCCAGACCCAGAAAGCCCTCCAATGACCGATGGGTGTTCACACAGAGCTCCAGAGCAGGGTGAAGCTGACCTTGCTGGAAGGAGACATTCTGGATGAACAGTTCGTGAAGAGAGCCTGCCAGGGCACCTCAGCGGTCATTCACACTGCCTGCATCATTGACGTCTACAACGCCATTCCGCCAGAGGTCATCATGAATGTGAATCTGAAAGGTACAGTATCCTGGGGAGAAGGTGGAGGGGGTGGACAAGTGAGGGAAAACAGGACCAGGGAGGGAGGAGGAGCCCCCGCCCCTGCTCACGTGACAAGCGCTGGGCTTTTGCTTAGCCCTTCCTACGGAGAGACTGTTATCGTCAGGCTCTTAGAAGAGAACACTAGGGCTGAGAAAGGCTGAGTAACCTGCAAGGTCCCACGTGTCGGAGGAGCGCTAGAATTTAAACCCACAGCTGCGTGACTCCGAAGGCCACAAAAGCTCTTTCTACTGCTGCTCCCACCCAGTGTGGACTAGGCTCCAACTTCAGACTCTTGATACTCAGCCACCCCCCCCCCCCCCCCCGGGGCAGGAGCCAGGCTTCACAGGGGCTTCCTTTGTCCTCATTTTAGCCCTTCTCAGAATGGCCAAGAAAAAACTAAAAGCTTTGTGATGAGGTGGGCTCAAGTCAGTTCGGGCCACAGGTCTGGGCAGGACTTCCCGAACAGGGTAGAGCTGGCTCACATTAGTCTGGTGCTACAGAATCATCTAGCACTTGGCCTCCTATAATCTCTTCTTAACAGCAATGGCATCCCATTATCCATAACCCCATCTCTTCATCTCACCACCGGGTCTACTCGTAGAGCAGCTTCTTAGCCAGGTGTGCAGAAGACATACACCTTAGGTCCTCAAGCCTGAACGAGCTAGGTGGCTCTTTCAGAGTTGTGGCTTTCCAGTCTACTTTAAATCTAGATGCATTTGCTCGAGGGTTTAGCTGAAGACCCGCATTTGCTTGCCGTGTTCTAGCATCCCTCTGATCCCTGGAGGCCAGTGTCCCGAGGACCACAGCCTCCCACACCCCTGGCCCATGCACCTCCCGTGCCCTGCACTCCAGAGCGAGTGACTCAGAGACTCCTTTTCTAAAGCAATGTATTGCTTTGGATCTCCAGCCAAAACAGCACAATCTCCAAAAAAGACCCCTTTGAATTGCTACTTAACCACGCCCACACTGCCAGGAGGCTGCTGGGAGGAGCCAGATTCTAGTGTCCACCCCCCCTCTCACAATTCCTGCTCTTCGCAGCTCCCAGCAAAAGGAGACTTGAAGTCCCTGAGAAGTGTTAAGAGGCATCAGCTGACTAAAAGCAATACCACTCCCAGGTTTAGAAAATATTTCACTATGATCATCATTTCCCCCTCTGCAGATAAATGAGCTCCAAATATTCTCTGCCTCTAGGTTTAATTTTTCTTTCAAAAAGTGAGGCTATCTCTCCCCAAAATCAAATGGCACAACAACCTTAAAAGGGATTTTTTAACTGCAAAAAAAAAAAAAATAGAAATGATGCTTTGTGTCGGAAATTCCCTGTAGGAAAGGCACTCTAGATGGCTTCTGTGAACTAAGGTTCTACCCAGCTCAAGGGATTCCTACCGGATCCTCTGGTTATGAATATTGTCACCAGAGGGCGTTCTTGTCTGGTTCTCCACCCAGCTCTAAATGCTAGGCCAGGGCAAAATTCTGCCATGCTAAGAAGAGGGAGGGTTTAGCACTCCCACTTTTCATACTTGGATAAATGGAGTCACAGACAGAATTAGAAGTGGCCTTTGTAGGGCGCACACAAATGGGGACAGAATCAGGATCTCCAGCTTCTCCCTAGAGCCCACTCCTTATTTCAGTGTCTCTCAAAAAAAGATCCTTGTGACTACATTTTTATTGGTCCTTAAATAAAGGACCAATGGAAACAATTAAGTATACACGTATACCTAAGGGTGTATATTACCTATAAACGTGTGTGTGTGTGTATGTGTGTGTGTGTGAGAGAGAGAGAGAGAGAGAGATGAGAGTCCTTCAATTGTTCCCATTTGCCTAAAGACTAGGACTGCCCATATTCTGAGAGTGTGGCCTCCTAATTTTTTTTTAAATTTAAAATAGCCTGTCATTAATGAGGTGGTAGGGATAAAAATGACCATTTTTAAATGTCCATAGGCAGTAAAATATAAAGCAGCAACCCTGTGTCTTTTTCGAGAATGAGAGGTGCACACACAGGTCCATGAAATCCAAAAGGCTAGAAATTTTTGCTCTCCAGAACTCCATGTGAGTCACTTTTTATTTTTGCACTTTTCTGTGGCATTAGCACGGTCAGCTTTCAGCCTGAGGCACAGAAAAACTCTCCTGTGGTCTGCACAAACGCCCTCCCGTGGGGGCGGGGCGGACCGGTCCGCGGCCATGGGGCCTGTGGGTCATTCCCTGACGCTACCAGTGTGCTCCCATGGGCAGGTACCCAGAGGCTGTTGGAGGCCTGCGCCCAGGCTAGTGTGCCGATCTTCATTTACACCAGCACCATCGAGGTGGCTGGGCCCAACTCCTACAGGGAGGCCGTCCGGAATGCCCGTGAAGAAGATAACCTCGAAACGACATGGTCGGCTCCGTACCCGTACAGCAAAAAGCTTGCAGAGAAGGCTGTGCTGGCAGCGAATGGGTGGGCTCTTAAAAATGGTGGCACCTTGTACACATGTGCCTTAAGGCCCACGTATATCTACGGGGAAGGAAGCCCATTTCTGTACAGGTTTTTTGACCAGGCCCTAAAAAACAATGGCATCCTTTCCCATAACAGCAAGTTCTCCATTGCCAACCCAGTCTATGTTGGCAACGTGGCCTGGGCCCACATTCTGGCTCTGAGGGCCCTGTGGGACCCTGAGAAAGCCCCAAACATCCAAGGACAGTTCTACTACATCTCAGATGACACACCTCACCAAAGCTACGATCAATTCAATTACAACCTGAGCAAAGAATGGGGCTTCTGCCTTGATTCCAGAATGAGCCTTCCTGTATGGCTGACCTACTGGCTGGGCTTCCTGATGGAAATAGTGAGCTTCCTGCTCAGTCCAATTTACAGGTACCAGCCTCCCTTCAACCGCCACTTGGTGGCCTTGTCAAATAGTGTGTTCACCTTCTCCTATAAGAAAGCTCAGCAAGATCTGGGGTATGAGCCGCTCTTCAGCTGGGAGAAAGCCAAGCAGCAAACCACAGAGTGGATTGGCTCCCTGGTGAAGAAGCACAAGGAAGCCCTGAAAACAAAGACTCACTGAAGCGGGTGACAAGGGTGTGGATGGGGTGCTGTCACGGAATGGCTGTCAAGATCCCCTCTCTGGCCCAGAAAGTGACTTGGGCCCAGGTCCTGCTGCATCCCTTTTATAAGGTGGCCATCTAATTGTCTTCCTCCCAGCAGCCGTCACTGGCCCAACTGCAAGCTTTCTGCCCCACCCGCTCTCCAGAGGACAGACAAGGAGATTTGCTGCAGCTGCTGGTCCCAGAGTCTCAGTTGCTGGTTCTGAGCTATTTGGGCGTCTTTAATTCAGGCTTTCGCTCACTAGTTCCATTTCCTTTGTTAATGGCAACATCTTAACATTCCTATTCCTTCACACAGCTCAATGAAAAGAATAATAAATGTTTTCATGTCTAATCTGAAGGAAGTTGTGGTTTATGTGAATATGTATCTTCCTCCTTTCACCTCTATTTGCAGGTACCACCATCCCCTATTGGGAAAGCTGCATGGAACTGGGGTGGGCAGAAGGTTCTGGAAGGGGGAACTAAGATCAACTAAGCACCTACCATGTTTCATGCCTGAAACATGACTGACATATCTCATCACATTTAATCTTCACCAGAAACCTATGAGGTAGAAATTCCTATTTTATCAGTAAGGAAACTTGTTCACGGTTGCACTAACTGGTAAGTGACCAGGCCATTTAACCCAGATAGACCCCCTTGAAAGCTTTTAGTTTTCAACTGAATCGTGCGGCCTGAACTGCCCAAAATTGACAGCAAAACAAGGGGTGGTTGCGTTTGCCAGCAATACAGCAGAGCCCCTGGAACACCGGACACTGATCCTTGGAGAGTCTGGCCCCCTTGGGTCACCTACTTCTTGCCCAGTCCTGTGCAAGACTCCCTAGAACTCAGGAGCACCCTGAAGGGCACCTGGGGGCACATGCATGCCCATGCCAGGTGGCCTGGGCAGGGGCGGGGGAAGCAGAGATGTAGCCAGTCTCCACCACCATGCCTGTCTGCTCAGAGGTCTCTAGGATGCACCTGGATGTGTGCGTGTGTTGGTCACTCCAGCAATTCATAGGCCCTTATGCCAACCTTTCAAATCACACAGTGAAGCCTCTCCACGGGTTCCTGGGAAGGAGAGGGACAGGTAAGAATTCCCTGAAAATTGCTCCCCTCCCAGCCTTGAGCCTACTACACGCCCCTGCCTCCAGAGTTAACTCCTCCTCCTCCCCCCGCCCCGTGTCTCCCCTGCGCTGCCTCCTCTCTTCACCCCCCCATCTTAGTATCCTCTTTCCTTTCCCCCTCAGGCCCCTTCGTCACTGGCCCCTCATTCTTCTCAGTTCCCCTACAGACAACAGGAATCAAGATTGGGGACTTGACACGGTTAGGATAGCTGGGGGGGGGTTGACCCCTCCCCCAGACCTGTGCGTGCTCTGTCTTTATGACCGCAGCCACAGGTCACACACTTTCTTGCCCAGGGAATTTACGGATTCAGAATTCAGTTGAATATGATTACCACAAAGGAGATAGTTGAAGCATTCACCCTTAAGGAAAAAGAAAAAAAACAAAAACAAGAAAACACCACTCTGGCCCACATGAGCAGTTTCTAGCACCTTCGAAAGCCCCTGGGAGGGATGGTTAGCTCCTGGGCATGGGGTGGAGCGGCCCATGTGGCGGGGGCCAGGGTCAGGTGAGAACTGAAACACCCTCTTCCTGCCTTCCTTCCTCCACTGCACGAAACGCCTGTAAGCGGTGCGCACCTTCGTCTGTTTAGGCCAACAGAGAAGGAAGGAAGGGAGGGTGGTGGGACCTGTGTGTTTAGCCCAGTGAAACCCCACAGCTATAAATTCATCAGGACGATTCTCACAGAGAAGGGAAGAGGCACTGTGGCCAAAGGGCAAGAGAGGCCGGGGGTGACCCGGGGGTCTCAACTGGACAAGAGTAAAGACCTCGGAATGTTTTGGAGAAGGAGGCGGAACATCCTCACTCTCGCTGGTCGCAGACCTGTCCTGGCCGGGCGGTCCAAGCTCAGACTCACAAGCCCGGGATGCACCGCCCGGGATGCACCGCACGGAAAGCACCGCACGGGGGCAGCAGAGGCTGGGAGGGAAAATGCCAGCCTCCCCCGGCCTGGACCTCCCCTCCCCCGTCCCACCCCGTTTGGACCTTCCTCCCCTCCTCTCTCCTCCCCTTTTCTTCTCCTACCCGGTGCCTGAGTAGAGTAGTCAGTAAATGAGGGAATCAGAACCCAAGTGCGTGCTGGACCACGGGATTAAGTGCTACGCATTTATGAGTCTACAGGGGGTGTCCAACCTTTTGGTGTCTCTGTACCACATTGGAAGAAGAGGTATCTTGGGCTACACCTTAAATACATTGTGACACATAATCACAAAAATAAATAAAGGAATGAATAAAAAAACAATCTCATAACGTTTTAAGTAAATTTATGATTTTGTGTTGGGCCACATTCACAGCCACCCCGGGCAGCGTGCGGTCCGCGGGCCGCAGGCTGAACACCCCTGGAACTGGGCTGAGCTGAAGTTACTGGGAAAAGCCTCGGGGAGCCGGGAGGACCTCGGCTAGGCCTTGAAGGATGGCTGGGGCTTGGCTGGAAGAGTGAGGTGGCCCAGGCCGGGGAAGAGGCCGGGCAGCGGTGTGGGGGAGACGTGAGTGTGGAGCTGGGAAGTGGGGGTGAGGAGACGGCCTGCCTGGCAGAAGGGGTTTCCAGGGGAGACGAGGTAGCCGGCCAGGCCCATGGCCTCGGTGAGGCAGGCCTCTGAGGGCCGAGGTGGAGCCGGCAGGGGGTGGACGGCCTGGTGAAGGACCAGCAGAAAGGCAACGGCGGCTGCCAGGGGGGAGGTGGGCAGGAAGGCCGGAGCTCAGCTGTGGCAGAAACCCCAGGGGGATCCTGTTTTTCCCCCAACCACAGAATTCCCACTTTATTAAGACCAACAAGAACAAAAACCATCCTCGCAGTTTTCTCCTCTCTTGAGGAAGCCCAAACAGCCAAGAAAGAGCCAAAGTCTGGGACGAGGAGCCAGGCAGCCTGGGGACCAGGCCTCCCTCCTCCCCGCCAGGGCCTGCCTGCTGAGGCGGCCTGGCCCTCCCTGAAATGCATCACACTTCACATGCATATCCGTGCTTTTTTCTGCAGAAATTTCAATGTCTTTCATTACTAGGTACGAGCCTAGAGCCAGCTGGAGGTGTCAGATAACATGTTGTATACATGTATTATCTTGTTGAAATCCAAAAGAAATCTGAATTCCAAAACATCTAGCCTCAAAGGTTTTAGAGAGAGATTATGGGTCTCCAGCAGAATTACATGCCAGGTGTTGTTCTAAACATTTCATATAATTATTCTCATAACAACAGTCAGAAGTATCAATAGGTCCTCTTCTCTTCATTTGGCTTGTGAGGAAATAAATGAAGGCACAGAGAGGTAACTAACTTGCTCAAGGTTATCCAGCAGGTAGTGGTTCAGTTCCAGTAATGAACAAAACTCTTTTGAACTTCAAGTAGTTTCCATGGAGACAGCAAACTCCCATGCCTGCAGGAGCCTGACCCCCTTAGGCCTGGGGCTTAGGCCGTGGGGAGTGCTGGGGCGTGTGGGGTGCCTGGAGGGCTATGGAGGCTCCGCTGAGTCATGATGAAATGTACCCCGAGTTACCAGATCAACCGACCCCTCACGGAAAGCAAAAACTTCCCAATCTTTACATGACACTTCTTTATTTCTAAATACTGGCAACTCATCCTTGATTCTAAAAACTGTGAAGACCAGTTCAGGGAGTGGAATATGTGGACTAGTGCTCAAATTGTATGTTGTTTTTTTTTAAAGTGGATGGTGAGCCCTGGCTGGTGTGGCTCAGTGGACTGAGTGCCAGCCTGGGAACCAAAGGGTCGCCCGTGCGATTCCCAGTGTGGGGCACATGTCCGGGTTGTGGGCCAGGTCCCCAGTAGGGGGCGCACTAGAGGCAACCACACATTGATGTTTCTCTTCCTCTCTTTCTCCTTCCCTCTCTCTAAAAATAAATAAAAATCTTTAAAAACAAAACAAAACAAAACATTTCACTTAAAACAAAGTGGATGGCAAGACGTTGGAGGCAATCTGTTCATTCCTGACAATAGGTCCGGAGTATACATTATATCACTTTCTGTACTTTCCTATGTTTGATGTAGGTTATAGTTTTTTTAATACATTAATTTTAATTTTTTTAAAAAAGAGTGCAAACTAAGAAAACACGAGCTGGACCCAGGCCTAAGGCTTCCAGTGCTCCTGGTCTAGTGGGGGTGATAAAATATGAGACATGGTCAGTATTGTACATAGTCAACTAGGCAAAGTGACAAAGAGAGGTAAGATGCTTCCAGAGGATCCCATCTGTGTGGCACTTAATAGAGCCCTTGCTTTTGGGCTGGATGTTGAATGTGGAGGAATGAATTCCAGGTAGAGGCAGTGAGTTCTGCTAAGACACAGACATGGAAAAAGGGAGTCATTCCAGGCAAATCTGAGATCAGTGTGGGCAGTCCAGAGAGCACAGGGAAGAAGGAAAGACACACCTGGAAAGACATGATGAAAAAGGACCAGGATCACTTTGGGTCATCTCTGCCTTCTTCCTTTTCCCCCTCAGAGCAGGAATTTCTTTCCCCTCCTAAACACCATTTGACAGTTAACTACATCACATGCAATAGGCCTCACCCTCTCTGGAAAATTAGACTCATGGAAAAGGGCACATCTTCATGCCCTCCCTGCAAGGACTATGGATAGTCAGGCTACAGAACTTAAAGATCATCTTATGCACAATGGGCAAGCTTAGAAGCGTCTTACTCAGCTGTCCCTGGAAGATTACTTTGGCAACAATATGTACAGTGGATTGGAAGAGATTAAGAGAATGCTGCAGGTAAACCATGAATGGGTTAACAATGAGGCCAAGGAAGAAATGCAAAGTTACCTGGAAACCCATGAAAATCTACCCAAAACAACCCAAAATCTATGGGACACAGCAAAAGCAGTCCTGAGAGGGAAATTCATAGCCTTACAGGCCCACCTGAAGAAGAAAAATCTCAGATAAACGATCTAACCCTATACCTAAAAGAACTAGAAAAAGGACAACAAAGAAAGCTCAGAGTAAGTAGATGGAAGGAAATAATAAAGATTAGAATGAAAATAAATGACATAGAGACTCAAAAAATGATATAAAAATCAGTGAAACCAAGAGCTGCTTCTTTGAAAGGATAAACAAGATTAACAAACCTTTAACCAGACTCACCAAGAAAAAAAGAAAGAGGACCCAAATAGACAAAATCAGAGAAAGGGGAGGAGTAACAACTGAAACTACAGAAATACAAAGGATTGTTAAGAAAATATTATGAACACCTACATGCCAACTCCTTGAAC